TAGTGTATATTTAGTTGATGTTTTTCTTAGTTCATATCTTAGATGTTGTTACTGTTTTTCTTATACATTTTATTGTTGGATGTAACTGGGACCCTGTGTACATAATTTCGCTCCACCACATGTACCACATGAGGTGCGAATGACAATAAAGAAACTCTGACTCTGACTCTGACTCTGACATTTATTTAACCTTATTTCATGCAAATGTGAACTGCAGGACTCATGAATAAATGTCTCAGTAAATATGAGTGTTCCTGTGTGACAGGTGTGTGTGTGTTCCTGTGTGACAGGTGTGTGTGTGTTCCTGTGTGACAGGTGTGTGTGTGTTCCTGTGTGACAGGTGTGTGTGTTCGTGTGTGTATAGTACCGAGTGCAGATTTGGTGTGAAGCACTTCAGTGATCCTGTGTCGCCTGAGGGATTTACCTAATCTGACCATTTATCAGCCCAAAGCCTCATTTTACCTGTGTGTGTGTGTGGGGGGGGGGGGGGGAATGGAACATTCACACAACTGGAATGTTCACACACAAAAAAGTTTTTCTTAAAATGTGAAAGGACTGTACTTATACAATACAACTTTATTTATAAAGCTTTATTAAACAGCACCATAAAAGTAATGAACTACCAAATCTAACAGAAAACAGTAAAAACTATCAAACAAATAAGTTAAAAACAGTAAAACCAACATTTCAAGCTTCTTTCCATCTTCTGAAGACGCTCAGAGCTCTTCACAACAATCATTTACACACTCGCACAGCTCTATACTAGATCTCTACAGAGAATAATCAGAGCTTCATCACATTCTCGCACCAATGGGACACACGTCGGAGGCAATGAGGGGTTCAGCGTCTTGCCCAGGGGCACCTCAGCATGTGACGACTGGTGGAATTGAACCCCCAACTCTCCCATTGGAGGACAACTGCTCTAACCACTCAGCTACAGCCACCCCATAGTTGGAATGTTGAAACTTTTTTTTTTCTGGAGGTTCCTCTTTGATCTGGCTTTTTCAGTCATGGGCCACAAACTCTGGAACAACCTGCCCCCCCAACATCAGGCAGAACACCTCCCTTCCTCACTTCAAGTCCCTGCTAAAAACACATCTGTTCCCTCAGGCATTTCACTCAGTGTAAATTGATCTAGTGTGTTTTAATCTGTGACCCCATGTTTTAAATGCTTTTTATTAATTCTTCAGTTATTATTATTAGTGTATTGTATATATATATATTTTTTTTCTCTTTAATTTACTCATTGATTGTTGTTGTTGTTAAGCACTTTGATAGCAGGTTCTGTTTTAAATGTGCTCTATAAATAAAGTTGACTTGACTTGTTAAATCAGGTCTCTGTAGTAAAAGAGTTGTTGAGGCTCAATGGGACTAACCTGCAGAAATAAAGCTTGAATGGATGATTGGAGGTTCTGCTAGTGCTCGCGCTCCAGCGGATGTTTTCCTCACGAGAATATCTGTAAAAAGTTTCAGGGTTGCAGATCATGTGTGGGAACAGTTTTGTACGCCACACCACCCTTTACATAAAACCTGCGGATGCAGATTCACTCCGTTAACTTTCCTGACGGACCGTCCTCATGCAGCATCTGTGGGCGGCTGCAAAACCTGAATTCTGAATTTCTACAGAGACAACAAAACTTTTCAAGGCAGATTTTTCAATAAGCATCTCAGGCGACGTCTCCCAAACGTGCAGCTTGTACAATAAATGTAAACTTTACTCAATGACATTTGAAAAAGATGTACAGGGGACATCAAAGACTTTCTGTGCTGCATGAAAGGAAGAGCATATTTTAAATGTATTTTATGCATCATTTATGTTGCTCGCACAGAATGATGCGTCTGCATCTTATAGTTCAGTTTTGTTTGAATGTGGGCATGAGAATGGAGGCAGCAGCCACTAACCACCTTTTTCTTCTGTATTTTGTGCCTTTGCGTATCCGTCCGTCTGTTTTTCTCTTCGCCTGATTGTCTTGATTTGGTTTGTGTGGGTGTGTGGTTTGTGTTTTTGGTTAGAAGCTCTGCGGGGCTTGACCATGGTGGAACTGGTCAAGAAAGAAGGCAGCACACTTGGACTGACCATCTCAGGAGGAACGGACAAGGATGGGAAACCACGGGTATCAAACCTACGGCCCGGAGGACTCGCAGCCAGGTGAAACTCTTATAGTACAGATATTTAAAGACCTTGGTTAGGATTGGCTCTTTGTCCAGGTACCCTTTTAGTTAATTTAAGAATGTATGACTTGTTTTTTTAGAACTCTTACATCTTCACAGGAGAAAACGAGACAAATGAACTTTCCTAGATTTGTCATCTTAATAATTCACATTTGGGCAGACTTTTCTAAACTCTGGTCTCTTTCCCTTACAGGAGTGACCAACTTAATGTCGGGGACTACATCAAGTCTGTGAACGGCATCAATCTGACCAAACTGCGGCACGAAGAGATCATTAGTTTACTGAAGAACGTGGGAGAGAGGGTTCTGCTGGAGGTGGAGTATGAACTGCCCCCCACAGGTACAAACCAGATCACCTCCATCGCTGTACTGCGTGGTGTTCAGAGCCAAACATGCAACTCCATCACATCAGGAACTATGTTGCACACACTGACAACAAGAAACAAAACATGCATGTCAACACTGGAACTGTCAATAATCTTTTCTGATTGCGATCAACAAAATATCACTGATTTCATATTCATTCACCACCCGTTTTCCTTTTTGCAGGTCGGGGTTTGTATTGTCCCTGTGTCGTACTGAACACTGCCTCTGAACAATAAAGTGTTGGACAGTTTTTATTCCTGCTCAGCAGTAACAGTCCTGATGAAGATAAAGGGGTTCATGCAAAATCATTCTTCTTCTTTCGGCTTTTCCCTCTTCAGACGTCGCTACAGCGAGTCGTCCTCCTCCCTCTCACTATGTCCTCTGTGTCCTCTGTCCTCACTCCAACTCCTGTTTCCTAGAATATCTTGTAAAAAGACTTGAAGCTCTCGACCTTGATCTAAGTGGCTTTAAAAATCTGTTAATTTCGTGAGAAAAACCAACACAGACATGTTCCTGTTTTTGGTTTTCTACATCGTCTTAAAATCTAGCTGTTTTTTTTTCTTTTGCTACATTTTAAATACCATTTTATTTCACTTGTTATTCTCAATTTGTACACATCTTTTATGATTGTCCACTGTTGTCAAAACTCTGTTAAAATCAGGTCTCTCTTGTAAATTTGTCCCCGAGGCTCAATGGGATTAATCTGTAGAAATAAAGGTTGAATGCAAACTGCATTCATATGTCTCCTCTTTGTCTTTTTCCTGGCAGATGCATTTCTAACATCCTTCTACCAAATAACTCACTGTCCCTCCTCTGGACATGTTCAAACCATCTCAGTGTGTCCTCTCTAACTTTACCTCACAGGTGTTCAACCTGTGCTGTACCTCTGATGATCTCATTCCTGATCTTCTCCATCCTTGTCTCTCCTAAGGAGAACCTCAACATCTTCATTTCTGACACTTCCCGTTCTGTCTCCTGTCTTTTTGTCCATGTCTCTGTCTCTGTCTCTTTGTCCATGTCTCTGTCTCCAGACCATACAACATAGCTGGTCTCACCACTGTCTTGTAAATTTTTCCTTTGACCTTTGCTGACACCCTTTTGTCTCAAATCACTCCTGAAACTTTTCTCCATCACTCCATCCTGCCTGGACTCTCTTCTTCTCCTCTTCACCACACTCCACATGTTCCTGGACAGTGGACCCCAAGTCCTTGAAGTCCTTCACCTTTGTGACCTCTGCTCCTTGTAGCCTCACTGTTCCACCTCCTCCCTCTCATTCACACATGGACTCTGTCTTACTACGGCTGACTTTCATTCCTCTTCTTTCAAGTGCATACCTCCACCTCTCCAAGTTCTCTTCCACCTGTTCCCTGTTTTCACCACAGTTCACAATGTCATCTGCAAACATCATAATCCACGGGGATTCCTGCCTGACCTCATCTGTTAGTCGGTCCATCACCAGAGCAAACAAGAAGGGGCTCAGAGCCGATCCTTGATGCACTCCCACCTCCACCTTGAAGCTATCTGTCACTCCTACAGCACATCTCATCACTGTCCTGCTGTCCTCATTCATGTCCTGCTGTCTTCATACATGTCCTGTTGTCCTCATACATGTCCTGTGCCAGTCTAACATACTTCTCTGCCACTGCAGATTTCCTCATGTTACACCACACCTCCTCCCTCAGCACCCTGTCAGATGCTTTTTCTAAATCCACAAAGACACAATGGAGTTATTTCTGACCCTCTCTGTAATTCTCCATCAGCATCCTCAAAGCAAAGATGGATCCATGGTGCTCTTTCTTGGCATAAAACCATGAAAGAGCACCAGAGACTCCACCACACAGTTAATGCAAAATACACTGAATGAATGACTTTATTCTCTTTAAGGTACCAAGAACTTGTCAGGGTTAGACGGGTCTCTTTGTAACGTTTATTCATGGATTCAAGGTTCTTAGTTTGTTATTCCTGGTGGAACAAAATTGTGAACACAGGGTCCCTGTTACATCCACCAAAAGTATTAAAATTTAAAAGAAAAATAGTAATAATATCTAAGATATGAACTAAGAAAGACATTAATAAAATACACTAAGAACTAATAGCATAAAAAACAATAAGCCCATCAGCAGCACGAACATTGTTATTGTCTCAAGTGATACATGTTTTCTCTCTTTACATTTGTTGATCTACTCGAATACCTGTCATTATTAATAATGTTAATGTATAAATGACTTTCCACGGTCTGTCTTTCATACTTTGTGTTTGTCTCCTCCTCAAAGCACCAGACAGCACCTCAGGGGTTATATCAAAGACAATCGACATCTGTTTACACAAAGAGGGGAGCAGCTTTGGTTTCGTCATGAGAGGTAAATGTCAGTAAAGGAAGACAACTATTCGCCTCCCGGTCTGGGACCTTGGTTGGTGGAGTTTCCTTGTTCTCCTGTGCACACATGGATTTTCTCTGGGTACTCCAGTTTCCTCCCACAGACCAAAAACATGCATGGTATTCTGACTGGTAACTCTAAATTATACCAGGTGAGAGAGAGAGAGAGAATGGTTGTTTGTTTCGTTTGACTCCAGGTGTCCCTGTGATGGACTGGAGACCTGTCCAGGCTGTCCCTGTGATGGACTGGAGACCTGTCCAG